CATCCTGTAAAATGTATCTAAATCTATATCTAGATCTTGTTTGGCATGGCTCCTCCAATTTGCCCTAAGAACGAGCCGACGGATGTGGCTATCGGGGATCGGAGGAAGACGCGACGGAGATCGAGGGAAGAAGGAAGAAGACCATGAAAAGTTGAGCCGATAACGAAGAAGAAATAGGAGAGGAGAAAAAATAAAGAAAAAAGAGAAGGGTATTATGACTATTTCATTTTATTTCTACCATGAGGAAATGTTTTGCCAAACGATTTACCCAAATAGTTTCAACTCCATCAGTAGTAGAGCTGCTTGTAGAGCTAAAGCAAAAAAAAATGCTAATCCACCGGTGAAGCGGAGCTCCCTAATATTAAAGTGTGAAGAGATTCTTGAGTCCATATTCTTTTTTACTTCTTAGGATACTTCTGCGTCGCTCCTCTTATCTCGTGTGGGACCGGATTCACGACATGTGCTCATATGAGTTAGAACCATGTGCATTTGTGCGTCCAACGATGGTACGGAGTTTGATTCCTAAAGAGAGAATTATTTCCATGACCCTGAAAAAAGTTTGACTTACCTTTTTGATCCTTTATTTTTGAACTTACCAGTTTGGCCCATTCCAAAATATTAGAATAGATGACAAGGAAGTAACATAAACCTCCGAGCGATAAATCGTCTAGTTGACCTGCAATAAGATGTACGTTCCGTTGCAACAAATGTACACATTTGCTAGTTTTTTTAAAAAAAAATTATAGGAAATTCATCCCTGTCCATTGCTTTGCCTTGTGACAAGAACTAGTTCAGCATTCACATAGCTCGACAAAAATAAGGCGTACACATATTTCAATTCAAATTTTGTTATCTTTAATTGACGATGAGTCTATTCATATATGAAAAAACATACACATATTTCAATAATTTTGTTATCTTTAGCTAACAATTAGTCAAACTAAATGGCAAAAGGGCATGTAGCCTACTGGTTACAAGAGCCTCGGTAGCACCTCAGGTCATAGGTTTGACTAGGTGGGAGCGAATATTTCAGGATTTAATGGCTTTTATGCTTTTCAGTGGTAGGCAATGTTCCCGTCGACTGCGAGACATTCTAGGATTTAACGGCGTTTGTGCTTTTAGTGGTAGGCAACGTTCTCGTCGACAACGAGACGCCTATGGTGACTTCATCAATCTCGAGGATTTGACGGCTCAGTCTTTAAAAATACTTATAGAGGTAGGATTTGCGTGTGTCGTAGGGGTTGTACTGTGTAATTGTGTAATTTTAAAGAAACAATTAGTCAAATCGTATAAAAAGAAAAGATTATGTAACATAAACAGTTACATTGCACTTATATTTAGAAGTACTTTATAATGATCATGTTTTTTGTTGCTGTAAATTTTATATCACTAGAGAAATTATCGGCTTGTGATCTTGAAGATCGAATGAAGCAAAATCGAGCCTTATCGGTATGGAGAAGTATGATAGACACTAAACAGGTTCTTCTCCTTAAAACGTCGCCGCAACCCCACGTAACACATAATAGACGATCGGTCGATAAGTTTGGCTGAAGCTATTTTGTTGCAGAGAGAAAAATATTGTATCACTTAATCGATAAGCCACGAAGCTACGAGCGCCTTCATTTACCAGGCGTTCATTCAGAAGATCTGGTCACCCGGCACCATGTACCAGTCGTCCATGAGATCAGCTCTGGCCTGGCCGCCAAAGCTTCCAATCTCTCCAATACAACCCTGTGTGTCCTCCAGATACTTCAAGGGACAGAGGATTCCTTAGGCTCTGAATATGACGGCAATGGATTGTCACAGATGCTGCAACCAAGCCAGGTTCCATTCTGAAAACAAAAGGTGGTTTCCTAGTTTCCACAGGTATAAAAGAGCCGCTGAAGCAATCGTGTCGTACAACACATGTTTTTTTCCCCCAATCACAAAGCCCGTATTTAACTTGCGATTCAAATCTAAAACAACCAGTACAGCACCAATTTCAGCAACACATCACCACATCTGCCTAGCAACTACATGTAATGCTTTAGGTTCAGTGCACAACAGACAGCTCCCACCCTCCAGGCTCTCTGAGATCTATTTTTTCTTGCCTGTGTAATGGTGCGAACTGCAGGTGGTAATCTTCAGAGGTTCAAGGGTCCATGTTGTTAGTAGTAGGAACAATTCCCATGGTGATATCTGCAATAAAATAGACGTCTGAGCATTTCAGTTGATAATAATGGGCATAATGAGGTCAGAATGTTTACACTTTGAATTGTGAGATAATTACAGTTGTATGTTATGACGTGTTGTCTAAGGGCATGTTTAGAACGTAGAGGAACAGTTCAATTTCGCAAAACAGGTATGTGTACAGCAACCCACAACATGTTGATTGACTTCTTTAGAGCGAAAAGAGTCTGATTAAAGAGATGGACTTGGACGCTTGGTGTGCTTTTTACTTTTAGCAGACGACATTTTCTGAATGAGAATAGCTGCTAACCAAAACTAGAGAGAGCACGTCTATACGAGCAGGATGTCGAAAGATACGACAAATTGGCAATCTGTCATGGGCTTAGGGGCCAAGGCGGCAAGGCCCAGCAGCCGACACACCAAGGAAATCGTACTGTTCACTACGAACGGTGCCCATGGCTACAATAGCACAGCTGTCGGGAAACTTCACCCAAAACCCCAATTCCTACACCTTACCCAGTTCGGCTCAAATATTCAATTCTGCTGCCAGCTGCTGCGGCTGCAGCAGTTCTGGCTACAGGGACCGTGCGTTTACAAGCCGCAGACGGCAGACCCAGCTGCAGCAAACAGCGCCTAAATCTCTCAGCAGGCCTGGTGGTGCTCTGTGTCCCCAGCAGCAACGCTAGTGCTTCGCCTCCATGGCAGCGATGCATAGTTGGACGGAGGCGCCGATAATCTCAACAACATATATCCAAATATATCTCAAAAGCCCCGCCAATGCTTTAGCTTTACCATTAAGAAGAAATTATAACTGAACTGAAAAACATTGTAAACACCATTCTACCTTAGCTTTTCTCGTCTCATGGCGAACAGACAATTTAAGGAACGAAATATCGCAAGAATATGTTTCTGAAAAGCCTGTTCAGAAGTGGTGGGGGAACATTTCAGGCCATAGATGCAATATTAATTTTCGCATTGCATCTGTGTGATCAGAACCATAAGTGTAGCCCTTGTTAGTGTGCAACAGAAGGAGACATTTCATAGTTAACTGCAGACAAAGTCTCCTTTGAATAGCATATACCACGACTATTTCAATTTTGTAAATTTTCATTGCCTTCAACATTTATCATAGTCAAACAGAATATTCTTCTTCATGTATGATCTATTGGAAATAAGCTAAGACTAAGGTTGGATAAGATGATTGCTACCTGTCCTTAAGAGCTTGATCTCACTTCATGATCCAACCTATATTCACGCCGGCAGTCTTACCAATCGAGTAGCCAGTATCGATCTTGATGTTGCAGAAATCCATTGCACAAATCTAAAGTTCAATGCTGAAAAAGGAGAAAAAAAGGGAACCGTGAGCTCCAAAAAATTCCTAGTAACTCGATTATGTCATTTATTATCTCAATGAACTTAAAAAAAGGGCGTACCCAATGCAGAGAGCTCCCGCTCTGTGCGGGGTCTAGGGAAGGGTGTCAGTGACAAGCCTTACCCTTGTCTGTGCAATGCGAGGAGACCGCGACTCGAACCCGGGACCTTCCGGTCACAGGCGGTAAGACTCTACCGCTTGCACCAGGCCCGCCCTTCATTATCTCAATGAACTAAACTTGTAATTTCATCAGCGTTATACTCCTTCCGTTCCAAATTATAAGACGTTTGACTTTTCTAGATACATTGCTTCTACTGTGTATCTATACATATCTAAGTGCATACTAAAAATTATGTATCTAGAAAAGACAAAACGTCTTATAATTTGGAATGGAGAGAGTAGCATTTTATATGTCAGGATTTCAGGCACCAGAAGTATAGTTCATCGTAGGCCTGCTATTGACAATTGAAGAGATAGAAAGAGCGAGAGGACTCACCGTTCAACCATTGGTTCACCCGCTTAGTAGCTAGGCAGTGGCGTCAGGCATCCTTTGCGTGCGACGCAATCACTAGTTGCCGCCTGCGCCGATCACAGAAGATGTGAATGGCGGCGAGGTTGAGCCAGCATTGTCTCGGCGGACCGTACCTGTCGACCGGTGTCCGAGTCAGCGCAGTCCGTTCCAATGGTCCAGCATGGCGGCGTACGATCTGATGCGCAGATCCAGTCTATGATTGACAGCCGGCAACAGACGCAGCCACGGCTCGACGAGGGCTCCTCCTCCGGCAACATGATCTTTATAGCGACACAGACGCCCTGGCTAGCGATAAGGGTACCTCATCAACCTGGTGAGACCATTCAGTGCTGTATATAGAGAAGTCATGTCTCCTCTATTTGCAGAACAACACCCCCCCCCCCCCCCCCCCCATCAGATTGAATTATAATGAGAAAGAAGGGGTAAAACCCTAATAAAGCTCTATACCCTGGCGTCCATGTCACTCGCAAGCAAGCTGCCATCCCTCCTCACTCCTCCTAGGGCTGTCGTTCCTCCCTCCTGAACCTCCCTCTCTCCAATTCTCACAATCTACTTCCAATCCCCCAATTCTCCTCAAAATCAGGCACATGACATGATCAAATGTGGTGGACTTTGGGTAAAGACGCATATAGTTAGACCACTTCTTCCAAAAGCAATGTTTTATCAAGAAAAAAAAGTTACAATTGTCCTAAGGGGTGCATTCTCAAATGTGAGAGAGAATTCATCAGGTAAACTGATACAGACAGTGTAAAATTAAAATTCTCCAACTCAATGACAATTGAAGAAAAATATAGGCATTGAAGAATAAAATGTAAATTTAAGAGGGGAGCTGTATATACCTGGATGCAAATAAGCGCATTTGAATTCTGGCCGCAGCACAAGAGATGCAGAAGGTAAGCCAGCAAACTGAAAGCTGACTTTATTCAGTCACAAACCTGCAGCATCAATCATGTTCTCTCTGGAATCCATCTTGCTCATACACGCATATTGCTGCAGCTTCTCATTGAACAGCACGAGAGGATCCTTCTCCTTGAGCACGCCATTTTCGTCATACGCGGCCCTGAGGAATAAGGCCCAGTTCATCTCTGTGCCGGCGAGGTAGAAAGCGCGGTTCTGCTTCTGCAACGACTCGTACATGTGCCTCGTGAGGCAGAATTCCTCCTTGAACTCGACGATGTGGTGGATCATCGCGTGCTTCTCCAGCGTCAGGCTCAGGAACTCGTGCACCACCCCGACGCGGTACTTTTCCGCCTCGTGCGTCCATGGCTTGAGCAGCGCGCCGTTGGTGTACGGCGACACCAGCGGGAACGTGGTCGCCGTGTCGAGGCGATCGGCGTCCTCGGCGTCAAGCGGCATCAACCGGCGGTGTGGGACGGCGAAGCGGAACGTGCGCCGGACGCGGCTCTCGTCCACGACAAAATCGCGCTCCAGCGCACTGACGGCGAGCGCAGGGTCCCAGCGCGCGAGCTCGAGGATGTGGCGGCCGTCCCTGGGGTCGACTACGACGCGGAAGTCGTCGGGGAGGCCGAGCACAGCGCGGCAGTGGTGGAGCTTCGCGAGCGGCACGCGGCGGTGGGCCGTGAGCATGAGGAGCTTCCGGACTGCGCGCACCCGCGACGGGAGGAGGTCGTCGTGGATGCGGCGCTCTTCCTCGAGGAGCGAGCACATGAACGGTGTAAGCGCGAGGTGCGGGACGGAGTCCACGACGGGGAGGTGGAACAGCAGCGGGTGGCGCGTAGCGGAGCGCGACACTTTGCGGCCGCGGGGGAAGCCGAGCTCGCGGTACAGCTTGCCGGCCTCGGAAAGGGGGATCCGGTGCGGAGGCGGGAGGGAAGACAGGAACGAGCGCGCGCGGTGGAGGAAGCGGAAGGCCGTATCGCGGTCGAGCACGGCGTCGAGGGCCGGAACGCGACGCGCGGCCTCCGGCTCGATGGGCGCGACCCGTGGGCTGTTGAGCTTCCTCAGGAGCTTCTTTCGCCGCTTGCAGGGGAGCAGTGGCAGGAGCGAGGCCGCCGCTTCCGCCGCCGCTGCAGAAGATGCGGAGGTGGGGGTGGGCGCTGGCGCGGGAGCTGGGGCGGGAAGGAGGAGCGCTCTCGTGGCGCAGAAGAGGCGGCGCGCCATCGCTGGCGGCGGCGGCGCGGCGAGTGATGACCACGTGCGACTAGCTGGGTTCAGTATTCATTCCAGGGTTTGATCAAATCAGCACGGAAATTAAAGGCACCGTAACCGTTGGATTACGGGCCCCGCTACTCCACATCTCAGCCCACACTGGCCCACTTCCAGTCCGTCCTGAACCTGAACTTCTCCCGTCCCCATCGTCCTCGTCGCATCCCGCACTCCTGCAGTCCTGCGTTTCCTCCCCTCCTGAGCCAAACCCCCAATCCTCCGCCCGCCCAGCCGCCGCCGGTGACGGCGCCGCTGGGCAATGGGGACTGAGGTAGCAGCCGTAGTGGACGTCCGGTCGCTGACACAGTCGGATCTCGTGGCCCTAGCTGCCGCGTCGCCCTACGCCGTCGACCCCCGCCGGGGCCGCCGCCGCGATGGCGAGTTCCTCCCGCCCCCGAAGATCGACCGCGCCGTTTTCAACGAGAGCGCAGGTTCCCGCAAGCAGACCTTCTCCCGCCGCCGCGTCGCCACCAACATATCCCACAACCTGACGCCCACCACCACCGGGGCCGCCTCCTCCTTGTCTACGCCAGCTGCCCCCACCGAGGAGGACCCCGAGAACCGCCTCATCGTGTTCCACCTCCAACGCCTCTTCGCGCGTGACGACCCCTCGTACCCTGCTCCGCCTCCGATTCCACCCCGACCGCAAACCCTAGCCGCGCCCGCGATAACAGCACCTGCGCCGTCGCCGCCGCCGGCGGCGGCTGCTGCTGCGGCGACAGACCCCGATAGGGTAGTGCTGAATCCAAAGGGTGTGGCGGTTGATCTGGCGAGGCTCGCCGAGCTTGTGGATCCCTATGGGGAGGAGCTACGGCAGCGTACGGCAGGATTGGGGTCGGAGTCCGAGCTGCTGGGATTCATGAACGCGCTGGAAGGGCAATGGGGAAGCAGGAGGCGTCGAAGGAAGTTCGTGGATGCTGGCATGTTCGCTGACCACCTGCCCCGTGGATGGAAGCTGCTGCTTGGGCTCAAGCGAAAGGAGCGTGTCGCATGGATTAATTGCCGCCGTTATGTGAGGTCTGTTCCTGTACCCAGGCACACTTGTTTATTGTAGCATAGGCTTCAGTTGATAGGGTTTTAGAGTGTGTATAATGATTTAGATTCTGTTTCAAACTGTTGCAAAGTGATTCTATGCAATAGTTTTTCACAAGGTCCATGGTAGCCTCACAGTGCTTCTGTCGTAGAAAGATTGGCTACTTACTCTTTAGCACTGAGTTGCCTTTTGCCAATAGGTCAGTACCTAACTGAAACATGAAATTGAGATTAGGAACATAAGACTTCTGTGTGGAATGTGCTGCTCAGATTCATGGCCTCACTCAAGCGCTTAAACGTATATACAATAGGCTTACAGCTACGAGCTGCGTATATCTGAACAACTATCATCTTCATTTACATTTGAGAAAAATAGGCTAATACCCAAACAAGCGAAATTAGTGAATTACCATCGCATCAACACTGATGCTTGTACCATCACAAACGCATGCAATTATAAAAAAAACATAGCTTTTCTGTGAAAATGTCTATTTGTTTCCTTTTAACGATCGCATCAAGACTGATGCTAGCGAAGTTTTGTAGCTGTTTAATGAAAAGCATAGCTGTGACAAATCTTTGCTAGAAGCCTACAACAGTATGCCACTATAACATCTGCCTTTACAGTGCTTAATTTCCACAACACCTGGGCATATGCACTTTTTGATTGATTTCTCATCTCATTAGTAGCCTATTGCATTTGTCACATTATTTTTCTACAACTGTTGTTTACCTGTGCTGATTGCTTATATCATACTTTCAGCCCCAAAGGACATCAGTTCGCTACTTGCAAAGAAGTCTCTTCCTACCTCATGTCCCTTATTGGATATCAGGAGGCAAAGACAACTGCGTTTCAGATTAATAGTGCAGGAGTGCATGGCCTAGATGTTAATGTAAGTTTTAATTATGCATTTTATTTGTGTGCTTGGGTTTTCATAGTTTAATTTAAAAGTACTTTTGATTAGTCTGTAGGTCTTCATCAGCAAACCATCTCAATTGAGGAAAAGCAAATTTCAGTGCCAGTTAATTCAGTTACATTGTTTAATCCCTCTGGTGATTCTCATCAACAAAAACTTCAGAAGGATGAAGCTCCAATAGAAGTGAATGCAAAGGAGTGCCGGAAATGCAATTTGACGTTTCATGACCAGAGCGCCTATATGCAACATCAGTTGTCCTTTCACCAAAGGAAAGCTAAAAGGCGCAGGGTTAGTAAATCTGGAGAATTGGATACCAACATAGATGGAAAGTACGAGAAGACTCAGCACAAGACATCTGGAGAGGTATCTGGCAATTTTGGCCACAGCGTTGTAGATGTAAGGTATCAAGGTCCGAGTCCAGCAGAACTGTTTGATGGTCAACCATCCTTGGTGGCAGTGCCATGTGGATTTGAGGAGATGACTGTGTTGCCTCAACAGGGAAAAGAACCTTCTGTGTTGCCTCAACAGGGAAAGGAACCTTCTGTGTTGCCTCAACAGGGAAAAGAACCTTCTGTGTTGCCTCAACAGGGAAAAGAACCATCTATGTTGCCTCAACAGGGAAAAGAACCTTCTATGTTGCCTCAACAGGGAAAAGAACCTTCTATGTTGCCTCAACAGGGAAAAGAACCTTCTGCGTTGCCTCAACAGGGAAAAGAACCTTCTGAGTTGCCTCAACAGGGAAAAGAATCTTCAGGAGATATCTCTGTGAATCATCAGGACCCTCTTAAGGAGATGAATGGCTTTCCTGAACAGGAAAAAGGACTTGCTGCTGGAGAACTCGTCCCTGTGCATCATAAGGAGTCTCTTAAGGATATTACAGATACAGGTGAAATAATAAAAGAACATCCCACCAGAGAGCCTTCCTCTGGGCATCCTCTGGATACTGTTGACAATTCTGATGACCATAAAACCCACGATGAAGCATGTGACAGTGCTGTAGCTTCTCTTTCTGTTGATGCTGAAAGAAAATTGAGTATTTGCAACTCCATGAATGTTCATGAGAATGTCAGCTCAAAAGATTCAGAACTTTCAAGTGCAGATTATTCCCAAAAGTTCAATAGGTCTGATGAAACTTGTGATGTACATAAAGAAGTTTCTTCAACTGTAAATGATCCTGATGAAAGAAAATGCACAGATGATCCAACGGGGTGTATTAATATGACACAATCCATACAAGTTTCTGAGTCCTGTGATCTACTGCATGGCAAATTTGTCAGTTCTCCTGAAGAACATGATTTTAATGGCCAGCTGGAAAGTAACCCACTTTCAGTATCTAGGGATGAGCCTGATCTTAATTCAATTGGTATGGAAGTGGATGATGGCAATATATCTTGCAACGTCGAAAACCCCAGAAGCTTCAAAAGTGACAAATCTGCTGAGGACAAGATTATGGATTGCGAAATGACTTCTTTGAAAGACAGTGAACTAAAAAATGGTGTGAGAGTAAGGGATGTAAATCTCAATTCATGTTTGGATTCAATATCTTCTCCTATTTCTGGTGGAAACTATGAAACATCTGATACTCCTGATGATGCTATTCGATCATCCATTATTGCCCAATGCTTCGGTACTACCTCTAATGATGACACTGCTTGTAAGGATGGAAACTTTGCCGACCAGAACAACACCTGTAAGGGTGAACATTTTGTCAACCAGAAAAATGACATGATGTATCAATCTAATTTGGCCATGGACCCTATACCTCGAGCTCAAATAAATGTGGATTGTTTCACTTCTTCCTGTTCAATGACTCCTGAAATCAAGGACTATGGCAACAGAGGTGAAGATAGTGCCAAAGAAGCATTGGTGAATTCACAAAACATGACAAGTAATGAAACTGGTTTTGATGCTGAAGCTTATAACAGTGATATCTTCAATGGTACTATCACAGAAAGTAGTCTTGCCCAGCTGAATAATGTCATTCATATGAAACATGATTTTGCAAACTGTTACTCATTATCTGACCTAAACACACTTACTGGTGGTACTGCAACTGATGATATTGATATCCACAATATGAGGAGTTCTTTTGTCAGCTCCACCAATCGAACTGAACCAAATGAGCACTGCACGTTGGATTTTGATATCAAGGGTTCCATGCTTGAGGCATTGGAAAAATCTGACAGTGACTTAGATAATCAATACAACGATGCGGGCCCTTCTTGTGACTCACTACCTGCTACTGGGACAAGTGGGACTATTGATGATTTTATGGCCATGCAAACCAATTTTGGTAGCTTTACTTCTTTGGTTCGTGCTGTTGAAGATGTTCCACTGAGCAGGATTATGCAAGATCAGGTTAATAACTATTTAATTTATTTTAGTATAGGCACCTTTAGTATATCATCTAATAGGAATAGCCTGCATAGGTTTGAATGGGTCATTATGCCATTGTTTTCCACACATCAGTGATAGATCTGTAGGCTTTAATTAGTATATTCACTATTATTCCTGTGGGCCCATACTCACCATATGCATGGAGGAAAATATGCTCATCTACTTGATAACTGAAACATATATGATGTTAGATAACAAGATACTCTTTTGCTTGATAACCGAAGTATATGTGAGTTTCATGATATATTGTGTTCGTGTAGCTTTCTCTGTTTCAAAGGCGCGTTGCTTTCTCTGTTTCAAAGGTGTCGCTTAGGCGGACGCAGCTCGCCTTGAAGGTCTAGTTATGCCTTGTTGCCTACCCTAGCCTCGGGTTGCCTTAAGCTTTTGCTGTAGTTAAACTGTAACTAGCTCTATATCTAAGGCTTATCTTTGTACCATAGGTGTACAGTTTATGCACTATTTATTGTGGCATATTTATTCACTTACATGCTAATCAAGTTTGTTTATGCCATTCTGTTTTCTAATAACAAGCTTTGATTGTTCTTGAAACAGTGTGATTTGCAACTTGGATTTGGTGGCCCCAAGCAGCAGATCTATCCAAGCTTTGAGCAACAGCTAAGGATGGCCTCAGCTGGAGCTCCGCCTTATGGGGGCATGGGTAGGCATGACTCTATACCTGTACCAGAGCCAACATTGATGCTAGGTTATGCACCACAGCTGGGTAACTGCCCCCCTCCGTTCCAGTTGGGCTGGGGTCCGTCCTATTCGAAGATGGTTGACATGCTCCAATCTGTGTGCGTGTGGTGCAATAGCCCATTCCAGCATTTCGGCACCGTCGCTGAGCAGCAGGCAGATTCTCTTGGTTACATTTGCCCGTCGTGCAAGGGAAGTTTTCTGGTCATCTTGGCATCAACGGGCCATCAATTTGAGACCAGTTTCTTGTAACCTGAACTGGTACTGGTCCACCATCAGTTTCAGTCTAATTAATGAGTCAATTTGCACTTGTAGTATGTACTCCCTTTTAACTTGTGGCCTTGTGCTAAGGAATGAATGCCCTCGAAATCCTAAGAAATTGATAACGTGAAACATTTACAGGAGGTTTTTCATGCTAGAATCCTTGCCGCGTTAGGTGTTTGTGTGAAGTTTTGGTGGCTAAGCCGCTGGATGGTAGTTGTCGAGGTATCTTTCAGAATCCGTGAGCATAATGCAATTTATTAGGTGGGTCTGTAGGTGTTTTATCAAGCTGATGTTGCATGGTTTGATACAACATACTGTTTCTTCGTGGCGTGATCCTTAATAAAAAAATGACTACGGTGAAATTGAAGGAATGCAGAGTTGTTACCAAAGCTTATGAATAGAAACAAATATTTTTTTTCCTTTTGTAGAAGTGGGAATGTGAAGTGCATTTTTGTAGGTGGAGATCTCGAGGAGGGGTATGAACAACAAAGTGACCAATACGTTTAATTTCCAAACATACCCCATTTGTTCTGTGGAGCTGGGCGTTGCCATGATATACTTAGCCCTAATATACTACTCTTACTAGGCGTGAGGGTTTTCATCCAAGGTTGGCAAGCAATAATTTAATTCTCTGAAGGTAAACTACTCAAATGACTTGCATAAAAATAAATTGAGTACAAGATATAACCAAATTGAGACGCCCATTTTTTCCCCGTGGTATCGATGACTTATTTGGTCACCCTCTAATCTCGATGTGGGTTTAATATTCTTTGCTCCTCTTTCAAGAACTTCACTTGATTTTTGAGCCGTCTAGACCCATAGAATCACTTCACATCTCGATTTCACTAGAGTTGTTCTTCACCACTCTAGTGGGGTGAGCACAAGAACACCCTCACAATAACTTCTAGAGCACATTCACAATCTTCTTTGAAGTGCTTCAATAGAACCATGAACTCCAAGCTGCATTTGAGGTGGCAACCTCCAAGAGTTAAATGTTGATGATGAAGTCTCCCTAGTATCACAAAGATCAAACTCTTGACGCAATTCATTAGAATGCTCTCAATCTCACAAAAATGGAATCCTAAGCAATGTGTGTGAGTGAGAGATGGAAGAAGGCTATAGAATGTCAAGGAAGCTTTCTCAAGTGCCAAAACCTTACTCCCATTGTCAGAGGTGGAGTATACATAGGTCCCACAACAAAAACTAGTGCTCATGCCAAGTGGAATGAGTCCATGAAATTCTTAGGGGCAGCTTGATCCTGGATCTAGAGAATATGTTGCTTAGCAGAATCGTCCCATCCTTAGTTATATCTAAACCAAACACATATCAAAGTGAAGATATCTCACTTAGTCCCATCCTGTCGAACATGGGTTCTATCAACAAGATCTAGCACATTTATACTGGACGCCGAGCTTTTATTAGCTAGCTAAAGCTCTAGGGATTGTTTGGATTAGCTAATAGTCCAGTCTTATAGTCACACTTATAGTTCAGCTTGATCTAACCAATCATCTTGCTAATAAAACATATTAGCTAGCTCCCATCCAAAGAAGCCCTAAAAGTGTAAAGAGTGGCCAGGCCTCCTGCACCATACATGCTCTCTTCTTCATTGCCTCTTTTATCTTTCATTTTTGGTTCTTTTAGTAACGTAATATAATTTATTCTAGCCACTTTGTTTCCTTTATCTTTCTAAACAGTAAACACTGCATCAACCTTTGTTGTTCTTTTTTCCTCCTTCGTATGTGAAATTTGTGTTTGAACATGTATAAGGTAATAAGAAGAAACAAAGAGAGGAATCATCAGTTTCAAAGTCTACATGATCTGTGGAGTTTGTTGACACCAAGTCCTCGCAATCCTTGTGGGACAAATCAGTTAATTGATGAGTGACTTACCATGCCGCCATATGAGTACCCACTCTGACACGAAGCCCGTCTCCCTTCCAAATGCATCCTTCATTACTACACTACATAAATCATATATTTCATCGCCAACACAAAGATCTGATCCTTCATTACCGCACTACACAAAGAGAGGCTGCTGGGTGTTTAGGAGTCTAGGATTGGTATGCTCAAGCGTGTGGAAACCACCATGTTTAGTTTTCAGGATTACAAAATGACAACATCAAAGCCATGGGTTACGTGGTCATAGGCATGCTATTGTGCTTCTTATGTGCATCCTGTATCTGACATTTGCAAGACCAATGCATGTGGTTGGAAGTCCTACAGGCAACACGATAGCAAAGGTAGTGGATTTGAAGAAAAGATGTATATAATATTGAGTTAAATGCACCGGAGCATGTATAAATATATGCACATATAGTTTTGTTGCAATCCGTAGGGGATTACAACGGATGACTAGACGAAATCGGAGTTTAGAATGGGTTTCAGCAAGAACGATAGATTGGGTTTAGAAGAATAGACGGGTTTAAGAAGAAAGCAGTTAGGGAACACGGTTCAGAGGTTCAGGTTCTTATTCGATAAGCAACTCTGATCAGTTACACGGGCTTATATTCATGCCCGGATAGCTGGACTCACGCCTAATCCACCGACATAATAGCCAAATGCCTAATAACATGGCCCACACCCACCAGCTAAGCTCCTCAATTCGATAGCATCTGTGATTTCAGCCACTTGCGGGACTGTTCGACGCCCAACAAGTGCTAATGACGCGCGTTGCCACGATTCCTAACATTACCTCCCCTCGAAAGCGACTTGTCCCCAAAAGTTGGACGTTTTTGGGTAATGTCGACGCAAATCATTTTCTTCTTCCCAAGTGGTCATCGATGGTGGCAAAGAACCCCAGTGCACTTGAATTGGAGCAACCACAGAAGCACCTTTCCTCACCATCCGAGTTACGGAGAACTAAATTGGCTAGACAGCTTCAGCAGGATCAGTTGGGACCTGACTAATATCATCTTCAACCTGCTCAGTTGAAGGCACATGCTTCTTAAGCTGAGACACATGAACCACCGAATGGATCTTAGAACCTTCAAGCAAAGCCAACTTATAAGCCATTGCACCAATTTTCTGAAGAATAGGAAAGGGGCCATAAAACTTGTAACAAAGCTTCCATATTGGACCGAGGGGCAACTGAGGATTGAACATAAGGCTGAAGCTTTAGATAGGCCGAATCCCCAACCTAGAAATCTCTTTCACTTCTATTCTTGTCATCCTGTGATTTCATCCTCTGTTGAGCATGGTGCAAGTGATGTTGAATGCTGTCAAAAATTTCTTTCAATTAACCACTACTCCAACTCAAATGAATGGAAAGTGGAATCATTAGTGATACCAAAATGCTTTGGAGGATGTCCATACAACACTTCAAAAGAAGATCTCCCCAGGGCAAAATGATAATTGATAATTGGTGTTGTACCAAAACTCTGCAATAGACAACCATTTACTCCACTGCCTTGGACAGGCATTGACACTGCACCTGAGAAAATTTTCTAAACATTGATTGTGTCTCTTTGTCTGCCCATCAGTTTGAGGATGATGTGGAACTCATCATCAGTTTGGTGTCAGTCAATCTGAACAATTCTCTCCACACTGCACTTATAAATATCTTATCCCTGTCAGACACAATAACTTGAGGTAGGCCATGAAGTTTGTACACTAAATCCAGATAGGCTTGTGCTACTTGGGTGGCAGTATAAGGATGAGCCAAAGGGATAAAATGCACATACTTAGTAAACTTATCCACAACTACCATAATGGTGTCAAATCTCTGAGATTTTGGAAGACCCTCCACAAAATCCATGCACACAATTTGCTAAGCTTGCTCAGGAATAGGTAAAGATTGCAAAAGGCCAGGTACCTTGGTATGCTCACTTTTAGCTTGTTGATAGACTTGGCACTACTATACAAACTGATAGATTGCTTCTTTCATTCTTGGCCAAGAAAAAATATTTCTGATTCTGTAATAGGTGGCCTGAATCCCAGCATGCCCACCCACAGTGGAATTATGAACTGCCTGTAACACATGCTGCTGAGCCAATTTGTTATTGCCAAGCCAAATTTTCCCTTTATACCTGATGATGCCATTCTAGATAGAATAATCTTTTGGTGGATCATGCAAAACTTTAACTGCCACTACATCATCTAAATACCCTAGTTTTAACTGCCGAAGCCAAGTTGGATTACATAATGATATAGCCAAAAGATGATCAGAGCCATGGCATCTAGATAAGGCATCAGCCATTGTGTTATGAATGCCCTGCTTGTAAATGATTTTGAACTGAAGATTCATCAATTTCAGTAAAGCCTTGTGCTGAATTTTAGAACTAACTCTTTGCTCAGTCAAGTGCAGTAAGCTCTTGTGATCAGTTCTAATCACAAATTCAGCATGCTGTAGGTATTGCCTCCACTTCTCCATAGCCAAAATAATTGCCAAACATTCCTTTTCATAAGTGGACAAGGCCTGGTTCTGCTTACTTACTGGCTTGCTCAAATACGCCATAGGATGATTATCTTGAAGTAGCACAGCCTCAAATCCCACATCACTACCATCTGTTTCCAATACAAATTGCTTATTGAAGTCAGGTATAGACAACACTGGTGCATTAATCAAAGCCATCTTGAGCTACTCAAAAGCTGTCTGAGTAAGTGATATCCACACATAGGGGGTGCCCTTCTTAAGTAATTCAGTAAATGGCATGCTAATGAGTCCATAATGCTTTATGAACTTCCTGTAATAGCCTGTCAAACCCAGAAACCCTTTTAGTTCCTTGACATTTGTTGGTTTTGGCCATTGCTCTATAGCAAGAATCTTTGACTTCTCAGTAGAAACTCCTTTAACTGAAATACAATGTCCCAAGTACTCTACCTCCTCTTGAGCAAAAGTACACTTGGACAGTTTGATGTAAAACTGATGTTGCTTCAATATGTAGTATTTGCATGTGCTCCTCCCAAGTCTTATAATATGAGTATGTCATCCATAAACACCAAAACTCCTTTTCTGAGTAATGATGCAAAAATGATATTCATTATGCTTTAAAAAGTAGCAGGGGGCATTGGTCAACCCAAAAGGCATAACCAAAAACTCATAGAGGCCACTATGTGTTTTAAAAGCATTCTTGAGTGTATCCTCAGGCTAAAAGCAAATCTGGTGATAACCAGCTTTAAAATCCAACTTAGAAAACCACTTAGCACCGCCAATTCATTAATCGACTCATCAAGAAGAGGCATTGGGTGCTTGTTCATGACAGATTTGAGCATTTAGATGCTGTAATCGTCACAAAATGCCAGCTGCTATCTTTTTTCTCACAAGTAAGACAGGTGATGCATATGGGCTGACACTGGCCTTGATAATGCCTTGTTGCAACATATCTACTAACTGTTTCTCTATCTCATCCTTCTGAGCTAGGGAATATTTGTATGGTCCGATATTCACTAGAGTAGCTCCAGAAGTAGTGAATTTGATGATCATCACGCCTCTTAGGTGGTAAAGCTGTGGGAGCCTAAAACAACTTAGAATAAGCATCCAATATTTGCTTCAGATCCCAGGGAACATTGAGATCTACAGATATAGTTATAGAGTGCAACTCCTGATCCACCCCATCTAAACCTTGACTTGCCTCACACATTTTCATCTGAATGCAACAAGTGATATTCTGTTGGTTCAGTAACCTTTGCAATCTGGCGACAGAATTAGCTGGACAATGATTCACTCCTTGCTGTTGCCCATGTAATGTTATTCTTTTGCCTTGATGAGTGAATTTCATGATCTTATTTGCCTAGTGGATCCACATGGGACTACAAGACTCAAGCCAATCTTCCCCTAAGATCATGTCAAAACACTTAAGGGGAAGCACCCCAATAGTGGAAATGAAAGAATGGCCTTGCACATTCCATTGCAATTTTTTCACCTGATGAGAACACACCATTGGGGTCCCATCTGCAGCTACAAAATGAGTAAGAGGACACTCACTGAGAGACACCTGCAACCTGACAGCTAACTGAGTGCTGATAAAAGTTCCCACACTGCCAGAATCAACAAGTATAAGCACATCCATCTTGCCAATCCTGCCACATAGCTTCAAAGTCTTGCGTCTGCCAGTAGTAGTGTCCTTTGAATGACCCACAGCTAGCATAGTTTCTTCAATATCTTCAGTAGTCTCAAGCTCTGGTGGTTCAACAACTGCTTCTAATGCATCAAGAATCTCCTTAATAACATGCAATGGCACTTTGCTGGGGCACTTGTGACCTGGAGCCCACTTGTTGCCACACTTAAAGCACAACTCATTTTTCTTCCTGAACTCCTTAAGAGCTGACAACTTGTCCTCTGTCTCTGGCCTTGGATTGGCTTGCTCATTCTTGTCAGTTTCACCAGCCTTAGCCTTCTCCACCCTAGACTTCCAAGCACTCTTGTTGAAGTCCTTCTATACAGGACGAGATCTGCACTGAGCTAGTTCTTCCTCCTGAATTAGAGCCAAAGCACTAGCCATGTCAACATCTCTTGGCCGATGTAGAGCAATCACAGATCAAATATCCTCTTTAAGCCCAGCCAGAAATCTAGTCACAAAATATGTATCATCATAACTGCTATTGTAAAGCAACAATCCTTGAGCAATCTTCTCAAAGGCAGTCTAATACTCTACGACCGAATCCTTCTGTTTCAAAGCATCAAACTTCTTCAGCAGAATTTGGTGCTGATTCTTATCAAACTTCTCCATCACCATTTCACAGAGCTGATTCCATTCAGTAATCCGCCCTTTCCTCTGTACCGTCTGCAACCACGTAGCTGCCATTCCCTTGAAGTTGAGCGTAGGGAATCTCGTCTTCAAGGTTGGATGCACAGTGTAGACCTCAAAGAATACCTCACATTGATCACACCAAAACCGAGCAGAATCGACGTCAAACTTTGGAAATTCCATCTTAGGGAAGGGAGGTGAATGACAATTCATAGAAATAGCATCATCATGCGGTACGACAGGGGGATGATTTGGGCATGAAAACGTACCCTTGTTGATGTCATGCGGCCGGAGTCCGAGGAGCCCGCCGCAGTGTTCATCGGGCCCCATGGGTTGCTCCCCGTCCTTAGCCAGAGAGCTTGAGGATGATCCGGAGTGATGTTCAGGTCCACAATCTTTGGACCCTGCTGGTGCAAAGCGGGTGCGGGAGCCATCGTCAGCCACGCCTCCAAAGAATCCATGCGCGATGCGGTGAGATCAACCCGCTTCGAGACTTTGTATGTTTCAAGTTTTTTAATAAAATTTCAGTAGGGGCTCCAAGCCCCTCCTGTTTCCTTAAAAAATGTAGTTGCACTGTCGGCCCGCTCTCACAAATCTCCGAACGCCTTGCCCGCAGTTGCTTGCCATGCACACATATCATTCAATGAATCCAAGGAAATCTACATCATAGTTTGAAACCCAGCTGCTTCATCGTCACCTCAAACTAGGCCGAGAGTTCTTCAATTGATTTGGCCATCTCTTACTGGAACTTGTTCAGTCCACGCTTCGGCACCAAGCTTGCGAATGATCAGCGAACCTGGCGACGCCACCACGTACTTGATCACCGACCCGTTCGACCTCGGCTCAGAATTAAGGTTCGCGCCGCTCAATCACCCAAATGATGAACATCGTAACCTGCCGACGGGAATTAAAAAAACGTGATCAAGATGAATCTATTACGACAGCTTTGATACCAATTGTTGCAATCCGTAGGAGATTACAATGGATAACTAGACAGAATCATAGTTTAGAATGGGTTTTAGCAAGAATGATAGATTGGGTTCAGAAGAACAGACGGTTTCAGAAGAAAGCAGTTAGGGAACATGGTTCAGTGGTTTAGGTTCTTATTCGATAAGCAATTCCGATAAGTTACACGGGCTTATATTTGTGCCCAGACAGCTGGACTCACGCCTAATCCACCGACATAACAGCCAAACGCCTAATAACATGGCCGTCCCACACGGGGACCCACTAGCTAACCGCCTCAATTCGACAGCATACGCAGACTCAGCCACTTGCCACGCTTGTTGCCGGATGCTGCCCAACCGTGTCACGGCGCTTGCCATGGTTCTTGACAAGTTTTGTGTTTGATCAAAATAATTTTTGAGTTCCTGTGTCATCAAGCTCTAGCTATTTTCTTTCTAGTCCCGCACTTCTGCATTAGGATGTTGGCAATCCTCTTGCGTATAAGGTACGCTATGTCAACAGTCTTGTCACAGGGCCGTCCCTGCGCATGTGCAGCATGAGCGACGGCGCAGGGCCTCCAAATCTCATAGGCCTCCGAATATAGAGTACTTAAATAGATCAAAGACAAATTGAAGCTTGACTTTTGGCCCATTAGCTAGCAAAGCCTATTACGGCAGCTTGCACGAAATGAGCTTGACCCAATAAAAAATGATTTGTTGGCCGGCCCATTTGGGACAGTGGGCATCATTTTGTTTTGCCAATCCCAATTCGCAGCAGATTAGGTCTCGGTCTCCTCGTCCCCTACGCCGCCGCCATCGCTCGATGCCGTATCGGTCATTTGTCACCGAATCAGCGTATCACGAGCAATCAACATCGAGCGTGAGGAACTGACGGCAACCTGAACCTGCAGCGACTAGCGAGGCACTGAGGCCCTGAAGGTAATATTAATCATTTATTTTTTTCAATTCATTCAGACTGTAATGAGTAGTAGTGGGTCGATCTTTCTAAATTTTAGAAGATTGATTATGAGCATATCATTGAAGACTTCATTTCAAAGAATACTACAAGAATGATGCTATTCAAGTAAAGATTATGCAACATAGGTACCATTCTTGATATATTTTATTACAATGTACTACATACTACATCATATCATACATTTAGCTCTGTTTTTTCTAGGCTAGTAGGCCACATTTTTTAGCTTGGTACATGGCCTTGAATTTTCCTGGGATGGCCCTGCTTGTCATAATATCATACACGAATCTAGGCATGTTTGGAAGCTATCGTACTGTTCGCTGATTTGTTGTGAAAGAAAAATATTTTTCCTTCACTGAAAAAGTACTGTTCATAAGACAAGCGAACAGGACCGTCGTCCCTAACCCACCCAAACACCCAATGTGTTGGCCGACCTAGCATTGGCGAAGGATTTGGTCGTCTAAGTTTAGCCTCGTGCCAATGTTTTTTTTTGTCTTGCATAGGCACACTAACAATATTTGGTGCCAATCCAAACAACCATGCCGCCATAAGTCAATAGACGCAAATTGGCCATGCAAGCTGGCGGCAACATCCAAACGTGCCCTCCGTCTCTTTCTGTCTCTCGAGTCTTACCGTCCATCACTATTTTTGGACCCTATCTCCTTAACTCTTCGTCTAATTAATCAAAACCCTAGGTTAAGCCTGCTTCTGGCATAGCGCCCAAAGTGATAGCAGAGAGTATATGAATAACTGATTCGTGAGCAGCGGAGCGGTCTATTGGCGAGTAGTGTTAGCAGCCAACATGCTGTAAGGCCCCACGTAACCGGATGGCATGCAACACCCAAATGTTTAGTTTCATGTAGATCCTAATAGAGCTTTGAAAAATAAATAACAAACAAATTATCATGGAATTCTCTCTATAGTGACATCTATAATGCAAATCATTTGCACTTTATTTATCTTATCATATATAATTTGTGTGCAAATGCCTTTTATGTTGGGAATACTCAACTTGAAAATCCTAGCTCAGCCACTGTTCATGGCCAGCAGGGTTCTCGTCGTGCTTCTCTGCTGCCGTGAGAGGCGAGGAGGCCAGGTGGGCACGCCCGTACGCCGCAGTCACAGCGCGCAGGACGGCGAAGGGAGCTAGGCAACGACAGTGAAAGCTGCCGCCCTGTTTATGGTACTATTCACTGATTTATCGTGAAAAAAAAAATACAATTATTTCGCGGAAGCAGTAACATGCCGTCTACGAAGACATCTGGCTCGTTCCCATATCTGCTGGGTTAATAGGTTATGGTGTTACTGTAAGCGGGCCGTCTAGCTGCTGGACCGGTAAGCCCAAGTACGCCTGCAGCAGGCCAGTGTCCGCTACGGATCATTTGGTTTCACACCAGTGGCTGATTTTTTATAAATGTTATAATTTTGATTTTGATGGGCCTACGCTAAAGCGATGGCAGCCAATTTATATTGAAGGCAATAATATTTTTTGGCTTGGTTTCCATGTGCTTCGTTATTAAGACGCAAGCCAAACAGGCGCATCAGAGCGCTGTTTTTTTTATTTCATCATCAGTTTTCCCACAAAAGTACAACTTAACATGCAGCTACTACTGATCAGTAGCTGGGTAGCACACACATCACATTCGCTTCAAGCTCTTATTATTTTCTGAAGCCGGCCGCAGTCGATTTTACTCTTTGACGACATAATACTCCTGCTTCAGATTCGTCGCCTTGCGAAACTCAGATCCTACGAATGAATGAACGAACGATCACATACATCATACATGTCAGTTAATCGTCGTCAAGCTATTAGCCATGTGTATGTCAAAAATTCTGCTGTGATGAGTTGCGACGTGTGAGCTGAGGTTGTACGCTATTTATTTCAGGTAGAAGCAAGCAATGCGACGTAGTACGTACCGGGTATACTCGATCTGGACCTTGCCGGCGTCAGGGTTGGCGACGATGGCGAAGGCCTCCTGCGAGAGGTCGATGGTGCCCTGGCAGGCGGGAGACGGGCAGAGGTCCACGATCTGGACGGTGACGGTGCGGCCGGTGCACGGGTGCGGCACGCCGGCGTTGGTGGCGCCCGTGCATCTGACCACGTACCGGTCGCCGCAGGCCGCGCCGCCGTTCCAGAAGACTTCGCTCGCCGCCGCGATCATCGTGCCCATGTCCTGGTACCCGTAGCAAGCCGAAGCTGCACGCACGCAAGCGATCGATGAGTATGTTATATTACAAGAAGATTAATCACCGACTGATCGATGAAGCAGCAGCTTAATTGGGAGCTGAGCTAGGGGCGTACGTGTGTAGCTTGGGGTGTAGTAAGTCGCGAATCCTCCAGTCCCCGCGACCATGGACACCATCGCAAGGACTAGCACCATAGCCAGAACAATGGAGGTTGCCTTTGGCTTCGCCATTGCCGCCATCACCGTCCACAGGTCGCGTATGTATATCCTCGCCTAGCGACTCGATCTCACTCAGGAAGAAGGCCGGTGTGCGACGAAACTAACTGGGATCCACGGCTCGTTTTATAGGCAAGCTGCGGGGGGTCCCAGATGGGGCCGCCAAGCAATGCCCAGCAAAGAATACATACTACTAGTACAAGTACTTTTTTTTATACTACTAGTACAAGTGCTTTTTTTATACTACTAGTACAAGTACTTAGTACTCCTACATATAAATATGTAAAAGAGGCAAGCTGTCTCGCTAAGCTCCAAAGTAACGACATCCACATCGCACTACACGTCTCGCTCGTTACTGTCTGCGTAAAATCCTATGCCTGTTTTGCCTGTGCTAGGAGCCGTATTATTTCAGCGAATGAACATTATTTTTCTTCCACAACAAATTTACGAATATTCAGTCTGTTCGGTTGGCTGGTTCATATCGTTGTTGGTTCGTGAAGAAATACTTAGTTTATGTAAGAAAAAAATACTATTCTGACTGAAAATTTACGATCGTATACGATCGTTTTCCTCCGACCGAACAGGTTGATTACTTTTTTGGCCGTACCTTTTCAGTAAAGCGAACAAGGCCTATATCACGAGGAGGCATCCCTGTATACTCTAGAGTAGTGGCCTAGTGGGCACTAGAATTAAGGGTGTGGGAGTGAGTGATGTCTGTTCCAACCCTCGGGAGATACGGTGGCCCGTTATCTCCCAAGGATGTTCTTCGGGCATGGCGCGCGGTGCGCCGCGCGTGACCCTAAATATGTCGTCGATCGTCACGGCTGGGCGCCTAGCTCTGGGACTCTGGCTGGCTGATGGCGTCGTAACCTACTACTACTACTAACCTGCAGCTGCCTGGTGCCTGCGAGTCCTCGCATCGCACGCCGGTTTGGCATCTCCGGCGTCTGGAGAGTTCGTGTGCCAGCCGGGACTGCGGACAAAGCAGCCGCCAGCCGCCCCGGCCCG